TATGTCTTTTTGTTTGTTTGTTTTTAATACTTGGGTTTGTCTTACTCCCTTTTTAGACTCTAAGCACTAAAAGCATGCATCATGTTTTAACTTTGTTATCCCATTCCCCTCCCCCATTCTCAAAATGCTTTTTCTTTACCTACTAGATGCCTAATAAATCTTTGTGGAATAAATGAATGCATTCCATTCCCAAATACACAGGAGCCTGTCCCTATATAATAACTACTTATAATTACATAATACTTCAAGGATTGTAAAGCACTGTCCTTGCCACAAAGGATGCCATAGCATCAACTCTACTTCAAAGATGAAGAAACTTGGGCTCTGAGAGGTTATGATTTGCAGATGGTCACCCAACAGGTAAGTGTCCGACAGGGATTGTGAACCAAGGTCTCCTACCTCTAATTTGAGCATTCTGTTCCTTACTTAACCCTACCCCCTGTTATATTAGCCCCATACTCTTACTCAATTTGGTTTATGGGACAAATAGAATACTATATAGCATGTCCCAAAAATCTTAGTGCAGCTGTGAACTAATAAGGGGTAAAGCTGCACTAAGACTTTTGGGACACCCTATATTTTCCCTTTATGCTGCTTTATATAAAAATATTAACTCAAAAAGATGATACCTGAGACTAAAAGATCATAGGCTGCTGAATTTCAACTTTTCTTATTATCTGTCAAGAAGAGGCATGAGCTAGTAGTTCTAATCAAATTCTGGTAAATTCTCTTTCTTTCTTTCTTTCTTTCTTTTTTTTTCTTTTAAGAATTACTCCCTCTACTGCTCTAGAAAGTCACTGACCTACATCAGAGAAGAAAAGAATTAACTATTTCATACAGTTAAACCTCCCTAGTTTGAACTACAGGGGTTGGAGGAAGGAATCTGTATTATGGAACATTTAAATATAATAATTTTTTTTTATTATTTTCAAACATATAATAACTCAAAGTGAGAAAATGAGGTTGCCTAGTCAATTTGATGCCTAGTAGATATCCTCAGAGAATTTGCTTTTCCTAAATAAGAATCATATATAAATTAGCATATCAATTTTGTGGGCCTGTAAATTATACTTGAGTGTTCATGAGAGCTTAAAAGTTTGTTCCTGAAGTTTTCCTCCCGACATATTTTAATGTTACCAATTACTATCTGAAAAATTGCTTTGTTTAGAGAGAAGTAAATTGTTCCTTGTCTGAGTGATAATGAATGTCAAATTAATAGAATGGAGAGATTTGGTTTTTCTGCATATAAAAATGAGAACAAAAAATAGTGGAATTATTGTTTCCAACTTTGTTAAAAGCCACATTTCTATATGCTGTCTCTGACTCCTACTTAATATATCATCATTAAACTGTGAACTCCTTGAAAGCAAGAAGTGTTTTTTGTTTTTGTTTGTGTGTGTGTGTGTGTGTAAGATTATTCCCCCCACCCACTTTGTATATCCCACACCAAGCACAGTGCCTGGCTGGCATTACAAAAAAATGCTAGTAGACTGACTGACTGACCAAGTTATCAATATGCTGTGACTACTAAAATATAAATATGCATACATACATAAATACATTATATGTGATATATAGCAACAAATGATGTGTAAATTTTCATTGTTCATGTTCAATACTCCATAAACTAATGCAAGATTATTATACTCTGGTGTGGTTTGCATTTTCTGAAATTGTCTTCATGTTTGGTAGTGGTGTTAGCACATAGAACACTAGTTGGTGCTAGCTAATAGCAGATTTGTGAAGTCCAGAGCTAAAATTGTTTGTATAAGGCAAGACAGAACTCTGATTTTGAGAGAGAATTGAAAGTATCTACATACGCACACACACACATAATCCAGTCTTTAACCTATGAAGATCTTTCATTTCTGCCAACCAAAGCAAGCACAAATCCCTGAGAGCTAAGGATTCTCAGCCACCCAGGAAGAGAATAGAGACAATGAGAATAGAGACAAAAAAGTCATTGCCTAAAGGCTTAATAATCTTCATAAGGAATATCAGCTAACCATATTCTTGTTTTTATTTTAAATAGTTACATATTGCATTTGATACACTCATAAATAGAAAAAAAGTATAGCTGTCTTTAACTTTTACTCTTTTCTTTCTTTCTTAATGATTGAATAAATCTAAGCCTAAAATCCCTCCTGGAAACATTCTTCTTAATAAGACAATAAGTACAATCATCCTTCCAATTTAAAAGTAGTTCAATTAACTTAATTATTTATGGTATTTTAAACCACAGAATCAGTTTATTTCTACCACTTTGAGATCAGAATATGAAAATTCTATCACGGAAGAAGCAATCATGCCATTCTAAACTATCCAGAAAGAAATACTTTCTTATCTTAAGGGATGGGAAACAGCAATAAGAGAAAAAAAAGATTGGAATAAGGAAGGAGGTGTGAGTGATATAAGACACCCAAAGTTTTACTGAATAAGAAATACACTGGAAAGGAAGGGCTTGCGACTAAACAGGAATAGTCCAGTTTTGTGTGCCTGTGTTATAATTTCACTCAAGGGCTAACAATGTATTAGTAGAAATGCTGATGTAGTTGAAAGTAGGTAATAACAATGATAAAAGTGATGAATTGGGAAATGGGAATTTTATGGACCACATGACTCAGATAACATAAAGGAGCACCTATTTAGACATTCAAGGAATTGAATGAACTAAATGGAAAAAAGATTTATATTGAATTTACACACACAATAATTAAGACTACAATTATTTTTCCATTGGGATAAACAGAGGACTCCTATGAAAGACCTAGTCCTTTGGGGTAAGGTGGGTGCAACACTCAAACAATTTCTTAGCTAGTTGGGGAAATTAAAGTGATGGATAAAGAAATTCTGGTGGGAGGGGTAAGCAAACATCCAGTCTTTCTGTGTTGGGCATCTTTTACTTTTTCCCTTTCTTCTTTTCTTAATATTAACCCACTTATCCTTCATGGTGATTACCTTTATTGATCTTGCATTTCCCAGTCATTAGTCTTTTAAATATTTCTTTGCATGAACTAGAAAGGAATCTTTGGAGCTCTTAACTTGATCTATTCTCATCTAGTTCTCATCTCTTCTTCACTCCCCCCCCCCCCTAATTATGGTTTAGACCATCTTTTCTATCGTTGTAACAGGAAAGCCTCTCTTTCCCCCCACCCCCAGCTGATCTCCTCAGGATGAGCTCATGACTTCTTTCTCCTTCCATTCCGAGGTCTTTTAACCAATTTAAAGAAACCTCTGAAAAGCTAAGACCCTCTTCCACCGAGTTTTATCCAAAAATCTTCTACAATCATGACTAGACTAGGATTGGAGGCACAAACAACAACACCACCACCACAGTAGAACTCCAGGGCAGCTGGTGGAGAGGGGAAGGATGAATTTATTAACTTCTACACTTTATATGTATGTTTTCCTACTGCATGAGTAATTCAAAAAGAATTACTAATCATTTCTTCGTAGGCCAGGGCTACCCTGCCTCTTTCTCCCCACAGCCCTCCACCTCGGTAAATGAAGTGAATTCGATCTTGGAGTTCTGGCATGGTAGAGCTCCCCTTTCGCTGAATTTGGGAAGAAGAAATCGGCAGCCAAGACGGCATGCTCCTTCAGAGCTCCGGCACAGGAGTGACAGCCAAGCCCAGAGCTGACTGTTGGAGGGATCAGAGAATTGCAAACTAGAAGGCACCTCAGAATTCACATAGCCCAAGCCCTTCATTTGGTCACTAAAGGCTGGGGGAGGTAAGCCACTTGTCCAAGGTCACCGGGTATAGTAAATAGTAGGGGAGTAGCCAAAGCTTGAGTTGAACTCATCTCCTCATTCCAACTGCAGGGTTCTTGCTACTCCATCATGTCTACAGCCACTTCTGTGTTTCCAAGGCTGGGGGAGCTCCTGTTTCAGAGAGGAGGGCTCGGGCTGCAATAGGTATTTTCTTCCTTCCCTTCCGTCTTCTCAGATTCCCAGGAAAGCCAAGGACAACTGCCACTACTTTAGACTCTGCCACCAAAAATCCCAGCTTAACTCTCATCTGACCTCCTCTGCCTTCCGCGTCCTTCTTCCCTTCCTATCCTGCATGTCGCTCCCGCCATTTAGTCCTTGCAAGCGCCTTAGACTTTTTTGTTAGTTTGTTTTAAGGCATTCGTAAAGGGAGGAAATAAGGTAGCAGCGCCCGGGAGCAGGGCTCGGAGTAGGCTTGAGCTGAGTATCCCTGAATGCCAGTGTTGGAAGTTTCTCTGCAGAGCTGGGGAGGGCGGCAGTGGGTGCGGAGGAATGCATTCACTGGTGCCCAAGCTCAATTACTTACTGCTCTGGGGGTTTCGTGTGAGCTGTTACACAAACACACACCCGCGCTTCTGGAGAAGCAACCAACGGGTGTTTGCACTTCAAAGTGTGTCTAGCTCTTTCTTTTAGCAAGCAGCTTCCTTAAGGCGGCTGCTCCTGCTCGTGGTAAGAAACGAAACACAAACACACACGCGCGTACGACCGCACAGAATATAAAAGACATTTAGCACTTTCAGAGTCAACACTAACCACACAACCTACGAAGCACGAATCACCAAGAATATGTTTCTGTGGTGTCTCTAGGTACTGTCCATCTCAATGAATTCAAGGAACTCTTGTATGTCCACAGACGCAACACACTCTGTGTGTGTGTGTGTGTATGTGTGCATGCAACACTGTGATGAGTATGTGTGCAGCAGAAAGTGAAGACACATACACTGTCTATTCATTCCAAGAGGCGGCAGCTCATATACGAATTGTGCCCCACTGGTTTGACCCTCCGCGCTCACACACACACACACACACACACACACACACACACACACACACACACATACACACACACACGCCCCACACCACACTGTGGAAAAATAGAAACGTAAAAACGAAGCCCTCTGGAGTTAGTGGGGAGATGGAAAGTGGGGCGGCTTTGAGTCAAAAGCAATCAGTAGGAGCTGAGAAATTCCGGGGGTTGGCGGAGTGGGGCGCATGGGGGCGCCTCGCTTACCTTGGGCTGCCGAGCCCGGGCTGCTGGCGCTAAGGATGGCTAGGGCAGGTAACACCAACATCTGCAGCATGTATCCCAGTCCCAATCCGCATGTAGCCTCCAAACCTTTCCTCATCTTGACTGGAGGGACAAGTAAGATACAAAAACACCCAAATAGACAAAAAAAAAGTGGAAGGCGGGTGGCGGGGGGAAGAGAGCCCGGGAACAGCAGAATTCTGTGCAAAAAGCAGCTGAAAAACCAGTAGGCGAACCTCCCTCCCCCCAACTATTCCACTCCACTTTCTGGAAGAGCAGGGCGAGGCGGGGCTGCAAAGAGGGGAGCCGCTGAGCAGTAGTTCTAAGAGGACTCTCCGGGCGCGTCTCCCAACTGGCAGAACCGGGGCGCGTCTCTGTGTTCGTGTCCAGCAGTCACCACTTGGGAAGTCCCAGGAGCCCGAGGACGTCCCCTGGCCGTAGCAACAGCTCCAGCAGCAGCAGCAACAGCAGCAGCAGCAGCAGCAGCAGCAGCAGCAGCAGCAGCAGCAGCAGCAGCAGCAGCACCGCGCCCAGAGCCACCACTGCTTATAGCGGCCCCTTCGCTGAGCAGAGCGCACACAGGCTCTAGGAGAGGGGGAGGAGATGGAGGAGGAGGAGGAGGAAGAAGAGGAAGGAGGGAGGGAGAGAAGAGTGAGGGGCTTCCCTCTTCCAATCTCAGTTTTCTCAGCACAACTGCGTGGCAGACGAAAGGTGTCTTGGCGATAGCTACTAAGTGTCCAGGAATGCTCATTTCATAGTCTTGGCCTCAAGTCTCCCGGAATCTGCTGGACCTTGCCACGGAGGCAGAGACAGAGCATCTTAACTCTGAGACTATGCGTGCGCGCGCGAGTATATGTATTTGTGTGTGTGTGTGTGTGTGTGTGTGTGTGTGTGTGTGTGTGTGTGCGCGCTCGTGTGTGTGGTGCGTTATGCAATCTGGAGGGCTAGACAGGCATGCACATCCTATGTTGATGTATGTTATACATTCTACACACACGAAACTAGGAGAGAGAGGAGAAACTGCAGCGAGGGCATGTTATACTGGGACTGCGAGAGGGAGCGCTCGCCCGGGCACGTTGTTCCAGCCAATGGAGCCTGGCCCTTCGCTGCCTTCTCCGAGGTAGCAGCAAAGCCTGAGCCAGACTGCTCTGGACTGGATTCTTCTTCCTACTTTGGCTACTGAACCAGATCAGGAAGAGTCTGGGTGGGTTCTGGGAAGTACCTTGGTGGGGAAAGAGACATCAAGCTTTTTCAGTGACAACCACTTCTGGAGTTCTTAGTGTCTTCTCTAGTAGTTAGTGACACCGTGGGATTTTTTGCCTGTGACTCTTCTGTGTCCAATGCTAGCTAACAGAATTGCCCCGGGGGTACGGTGGCTAATGAAAACCCATCCGTCCAAAGTAAGGTCATACTTACTATTTTCACTGTTTGTACCGTATGCCTTGGTCCGTTCTAGAGGAAAGGCGGTGTAAGAGTCACAGAGGAACAGAAACTAGGAATTAATAAATGCCAGGATTTTCAAATGCTCAGCCAAGAGTGATGGGCAAATACTCTCCACCACACTTAAAATGAGAAATTGTACTGGGGGAGAATTAAAGTAGAGCGTCACCGATAGGGGATCCTTAACCTTAGCCACAATATAAACACCTGGGTGCCTAGTCTAAGGAAAGGGAAAGAAAGCAGGAGCAAAGCAGAGCTAAAAGAATGAAAGGCCAGAAGGAGGAAAGCGAAGGAATTAGAAGCCCCAGAAACTAGGGCCCAGAGAGGTAAAGTATTTTGCTCAAAATCATACCCACAGAAAGTGATCTTGACTCCAAAGCTAAAACCCTTGTCATTACCAATACCAGGCTGCTTATTAAGGGCTATAGGAATTATCTGTTGAGTTGTCTGCCTTTTGCAATCCAATGATATAAAATTATCAGGCCCCTTCCAGACATTCTGAAATCCTCTCCAATGATAGATTTGGAATTGTAAGGAACTTTAGAGGCTTCTCTTGTCCAGCCCCTTCATTTTTCAGATAAGAGAACCAAGGCCATGGGAGGTTAAATGATTTGCCCCGGGTTACACAGTTAGTAACTGAGGAAGGATTGAATCTCAAGTCTTCTCACTACAAATGCTCTCCTTTCCTCAATTAACAGGCTGCCTCTTGCTCCCAGAAGTTCTTCATTTCTATGATCTCACTGTTCCCCAACCACCTTTCACCCCTCAAGGATTCTCACTATTACCAAATTAAGTTGTCCACACTGCTCTCTACTTAGGTGATAAAAGCATCTGAAAGGCTTTGTGTTGTAGTGAAAAGAACATTGTAGGAGTAACCAGGTAGAAGTTCCACCTTCAGAAGTTTGTGTGTAATGATGGGACTGTGATTAATTTCCACTTGCTGGTTTTCTCATTGATGAAACAGGGATTATAATAGTTGCAGGACAAGTAGTGAGCAAGGCTCAAAAAACATTAAAGAGCTGTAGAAATGTGAGGTATGAACTATGATTGAATGAACACATACAAATACAACTTGGTTGAAAGGACCAAATAAAGTCGATATTTGCCTTTCAGATTTACCAAGGAGGAAGAATAGACGCTTAAATTTAAGGAGTGGACTAGCTCTTCAGCCATACCTCTGGAGGAGTTTATTTGAATGAAAAAGCTCCTTGTCCAGTATATAGATTTAATAATCGAAAAAATCCAGACAAGATAGAGTCCCATGGTTTTTAAAAGGTGGGTATGTGTGTGTGTGTGTGTGTGTGTGTGTGTGCGTGTGTGTGTGTGTGTAAAGGTAGTACTGTACAATAAGGAGTTGACCTCAGAGTCAGGAATACCTGGTTGAGTGCCATCTTTGACACATACTGGCTATGTGACCCTAATAAAATCCTTAAACTCAGAGTGCCTCAACAACTCTAGACTATAGTTATAAAGGCTGATTTGTTTTGGTAGCCCCACTGAGAGTTTCCTTAGCCAATGAAACGAGGCAGCAAAATACAGTACAAAGCAAGCTAGATTTGGATCTACATTAAATTCCAGCAATGCTACTTACTACTTGTGTCACCCTGGGCAAGTCACTTGATCCCCTTGGGCCTCAGTTTCCTCTTCTGTGAAGTGAAGAAGTTATCTAGATGACTTCTAAGTTCTCTTCCAGCTCTATTAGAATCTATGATCTGAGATCTTAAACCATGGATCTGATTTTTAAAAAAAAGCCTGTGAGGTCTTCATTTTGAATCAGGTTATGGGGCAGTAGTTAAGAGAGAACAAGTAATAAATAAAATATATATACCAAGATTTCCCTAGATAATCCAGTAGGAAAGAATACATGTGAGTTGATTCTATAATGTATTAAGTTATAGATGGATGTACTTATGGCAACACCAAAGATCCAGTTCCTGGTCACAATAACATTTCTTCATTATCTAGTGTAAATAAAAGACATTATTTCAACTATTCTAAACATGAATCAAAGAAATTAGATGCCAGCAAGAATTAAGTTAAATTCTTAGTTTTGATGTGGGCTTTTTTTTTTGAAGTTGTGGGTTTCTACTACTTACCACAGAAAGGTCAAGCCCTGACTGGTCTTCGTGGCCCTTTATAATGTAATGTCATCTTACTTTTTTTTTTCAGTCTTATACTACTTTACTCCATGCTTACTTCATTACAGTCCAATTAGATCGAATCACACTTCCCCAAATATACACTGCATTGGTGTTTTGGTGCTTCTCTTTCCTCATTTTACCTGTTGAATTTCTATGTATTCTACAGAGTTCAACCATAATGTCACCTCTTCCTTCTTGAAGACTTTCATGATCTCCTTTTCCAACCATGAGACATAGCATTTTGTTTTGTAATACTCAACTGTAATTATCACCCAAACTGAGGGATTCCTACTTAGCAGGCCTGTTTCTAGGGTCAAGCAGACCCCAGTTCATTACTGACCCCAAAGAGAGGGCATCCATTTCTTTCCTCTCCCTCTAATTTTCTGGCTGAATATGTCCTTATCTCAGAATTGTGGGGGGGGGAGATTATGAATTATAGATTAGATATCACACATGTCTAAAGTCTTCCCAAAAAGGAGTACTATTATTCTTTCAAGGAAGGCTTATGTACAAAGTATCAGATATTATTATAAGACAGCTAGTCATTTCCCCCACCACAAAAGAAATGCTCAAAATACATAAGTCTCTTAAGAGCTAATTAACAAATATTTATCATATGAAACACTTTGTATAGCTGCTGAACAGATGTCACTTTTGACCTTCACTGTCTGTACTGCTCACAAGTCTAGAGTTCCCAGCAAGTCAAGGCATGACTTGACACTTTAGTCCTTTCAGATGCAGAATCCTCCTAGAAGGGCAACTTCTCCAAAAAGCAACACTGGCAGGAATCACCTTCTCCTGAACTGTTATGACTCAAATTTAGAATTTCTGAACTCAAGCTCATGAGGTAGTCACCAAGACCGGAAATGTCTGCCTCAGCATCATTGTTTGGTCACCTGTGTTCAGAATAAGAAATATAAAGCAGAAAATGGAGCCAGGAATTTGAAGTGAACCTCAGGATCACCTAGTATCACCTAGGCAAGTCTAAATTCTTGCTGCCATGTTCATGAAGTAGCCATAGAAACTATAACCATAGAAATTCCTATCCCTCCCATTTGGGAAATCCAAGGGTTACTTAGCAGAGTTCTCAAGAGTTTCAGCTGAAAGAGCTCAGCACTCGAGGAAGAGGCAGACATTTTTGTCTTCCCCCTCCCAGTATACTGAGTAGGTGGTTCTTCTTGGCTCATTTTCAAATCATCCTTGACCCACTTCTCTAATCATGGGGACCAATAAGAAGATTGCTATATCATTTCCCAAGCACAAATTCTTCAGTGTTGAATCAAAGCATACGTTTCTCCCATTGGAGCCAGAGCTTATATGTCTGGCTGCATGTGAGGTCCACCCAGCCAGCAGAGCAGGGGGAAAAGGGCTATCCTGTTCATTTCTGTTACAAAGTCATCAGGTAATATTGTATATTACAACAGTTTGTGATGGTGTCTATTCCCCTACTAGAATGTATGATGCTTAAAGTTAAAGAGTGTGTTAAAGCTAAAGTTACCTGGATTTTGTATTACTCAAGTACTTGGCAAAATGTTCCCCATACATGAAATACTGAATAGATGTTTATTATTTTGGAATTTTCCATCACCTGTGACAATATTCTCTTGCTGGGAAAAAAATTGCCTCATCTTTGTTTTTTTGTGCCACTTTCTATGAACTCAACTTACCCTTTTCTTATGTTCCCAGGGTTTGTATGAGGAGTGGTGGCTGAGGACCAAGAATCAAAGAAAGAATAATTTGAATCTGAATATATTGAATGGAAGTTTACATTAGACAAAATAAGATTGCACACATCAATGAACAGAGCCTAGTGGCAGCCCTCACATTCTATTGTTTTTCTATATTCCAAAAATATATCTTAATGCAACATTATTTTTGAGTTAAATATTGCAGGTGTTTAAGCAGAAA